AATGCCTGCTCTTGGCCTGCAGCTGAAATGCTCCCGTTACTACCACCAAAGTAGCACCAACTCAAGAGGAGAGACAAGGTAAGCCGTCTACATTAGTACTAGTTGATTACTTTTAGTAGCATCTACGTAGTTACTATCTATTCCTTTTTTCTTGTCCCCCTTCCCTCCTTACGACCAACAACACTCATCAGCTGAACCCAGATTCTTTTTTGACATCGGGCGTACCACGCTATCTACTTGACCACCTAAATACCGAATTCAGGTACCCGGATTTATTTCTGGTTACCTAAAAAGGGGGTGAGGGGGGGATGAGGGGCGGCATCGGGCACGCGACGCAAAAGGAGTATAAAAAGAGAATAGTCGAGGGACAGAAGAAGTGGATCGTACCGGTAGAGATGAAGATAGGTACCTTTTTTTCTTTTTTCTTTATTTTTCTTTATTATAATAATCATTCATTTCCCTCGTTTGGCATCTTAAAAATGGGGAGCGTCGAATGAGGATAGCCCATTGTCCCAAAAAAGCAAAAGGGATTGAATGAAAGTGGGAAGAAGTGGGCAGTTGGGAAGGGGGGAGAGAAGGAGACTTAGTTGAGGGTAAGAAAAAGGGGGGGGCAGGGCGAACAGGAATCACGATTGGATCGGAGAGGGAAAACAGCAGTACGTTGGCCGGGTCATTCGGGAGCCGTTAAGTGCCAATGACCGCCTCGAGGAGGAACGCCCGGTGGAGGAAGCTGCGGAGTGGATGACAGCCGGTCTTGCCTTTCTGAGTTCATCCTTGCCTCTTAGTGGCTGACCGTTGCGGCGGATCTCCGGCCGATCGCCGATTTTGGTCAGTCTGTTAAGCACCAGGTTTACTCCGTTATGGACCGGGATGTTCGTTGGTAAATTAGCATCTAATTTTCGCGGCTGAACGGGTGAGCTGAAAGTGAAATGATGGGAGGGAAATTAAGCACATTTTATTCTCTTTTTGGGGGGTCTTTTTATTATGTCCGCTTAATAATTGCTAAGCATTTAACCTCACATGAATCGAAGCCCAAGCGTATATAATAAAATACCATGAGGAGGCAAGGTATAGTACTACCAATTGGCTTAGGGTAATCTGGTCCAGAATGGCTGGATTCCGATGCATCAAGACCAAGGCCAGACCGTATCCGCATTCCGAAGCAAGGACGTCATTGCAGCAAAAGCAAACAATGGGGGAGAAAAATTCTGACCGGAAAGGATTGATTCTTCATGCCTTGCAGCTGACATCCCACCCACCATCTACCATCTAAATCAATCAAATCCCAGCATGAGCCAAAAAGTCCCCGCGTACTCAGCCTCCACCAGTAGTAAATCGGCATCCTACCTTATACGGAATAATAGCAAGGCCCAAATAACAATCTCCGTAGGGCAAACCCATCCATCACTCATCACATTTCCGTTGGGGTAAAATCACATAATTTGATACGTCGCACATCACAGCCCACATCCCGCCCGCAAGAGGGGAAAATAAAAAAGAAGTGAAGCTCGAATCCCAGCGCCTGCCTGATCCCAATCTGCATGGTGATTGGGATCTGGGGTGGGAAACAGAATTTCAAGGCTACTGTAACACGGCCGAGTGCATTCTATCTCTCTCTTTTTCTCTCTATGTGTGGGCTCTGTGCCCCTCACTTACCTACAGTAGTCAACTTTCCCCAAATGATGAATAGCACAAGCTTATCTTGGCCGGGCCAGTCCCTCTTGGAGATGCAGCCATCAGGCTTAAAGAGGTAGTACCTAGTACTTACTATATGGTACTTTTGACAAATTGCAGGCAGGCATGCTTCCCACATCAGACCGCATGACTCATGGCCTACAAGGAAGACAGGTATCTAGACTAGGCCTTCAAGTTGGCGGCTATGAGGCCCAGTCACAATGCCTCATCCCCATACCGATACCGATTTGTCACTTGCATCCCACACAGACACGGCACACATCATTTTGCGCAAGGAAAGTGGAGCAGATGACCAGTCACAAGGATCTTTTCTTTATTTTTCTTTTCTTTTCTCCCCGATACGTTGGTCGTTTTGGATAGGCACAGATCGACCGATCTTACTCATCGCTGATCAGATAGAAATGATAAACATGGTCAAGATATTACATAGATCGACACGTGCTCTACACTGCCAGGATCTAGGGAATAGGCAGGCAAGCAGGCACCAACACATCATTACCGATCGCTTATCTGCCTGGATCGATAGAAGCTGAAGCCCTTGATAGTCACCGATGTTCTTACTATGCGGTGAGTACTTACTAGCTATGGACCAGGACAATGAGTGAGTACATAATGACCATCATGCCAGCCGCTTTCACACCGACATGTCAAGCACGATGCAAGATGCATTTCAATCACTTCGCACAACTGCATTTTCTATCCTATTGGTTGGAAATCTAGCGGTATGCTACCCACACGCAGAGTACCATGTTGTAGTAGTATTGACAAGGCTGTGCTTAAATCCCCATTGGTCTGTGGCACGTCGGGGATTTTGATGTGATGGACACTTGATCTGGTCCATGCACGGGGGTGGAAGGTAAAATCATTTGGGTGGCTAAGAAGAGTATTGATGTTGCATTTGTAGTCATCGTTATAGGTGTATAAACCCGGTGCTAAAAGTCTGGTAGAAGATGTTTCTATTATCTTTCAACAATGAGTATCAATACACGGATACGGAGTAGTCGAGGCTTTGCTTCTATTCTTCCTTGATAGGAAGCTTACTGTTCACGACGTTACTTGTAGTTATCTTACACCTCAATGTATACTACTCACTTTGTATGTGACCTTTCCAGAGCCATGTTCACCATACCAACATACACTAGAAATGATAAGACACCAAAGTAGTAACTCAAATATCCTACAACCTAGCCCTCCCCTCTCTCCCCTCCAACACCCTCAAAACCTCCCCCACAGCAGCCTGTCCCCTCTCAATCGCACCATCCACAAACCCCCTCCACCCATCCGCCCAATCCGCGCTCGCAAACACAACCCGTCCATGCGGCTTCTGAAGCTCCTCCAAGTACTCCGACACAGTGTTTGGTCCCCAGCACGCCCAAACCCCTTTCGCATACGGGTCATTCATCCAGTCATGGGTAGCATAGGCATCAACAGTAACACCCGGGTTAACATCACGCTTGAACCTCTGCAATATATGTTTACTATCCTGCTTATCGGTAAGTAGACCATTGTATCCGAACCCAATACACCAGGTACCGGATGGACCTGTTGGCCGGGTTCCATTGTGGTCTGAGAAAGCAAAGACAAAGCTCGAGTCACTGCCGTCATGCGCCGTGAAAAACCAGCCCGGTAGTGTTTCGCGAAGCTTAAAGTGGATCTTTGCGCCTTTGTTGATATGACCTTTTGTGATGGCTGCTTGTCTGAGGGGGGATAGTGGGGGGTGGAACTGAATATCAGTGAGGCAATTCCTATGTTTATCCATGTTAGTCAAGATCCAGAGCATGAGCAAAAAGGCAATCGAAGAAAAAACATACAGCGGAATCGTCGACACCACCGCCCCAGCCTCAACCCTCCTCCCATCCTTCATAACAACCTCCACCACATCACGACCGTGATCAATCCTCCCAACAACCGCCCCAAAGCAAACATGACCAGTAAACTCCCCAAAAACCGCCCTCGCAAAAGCCGTCATCCCCCCACCCCCCAACTTATACACCCCCGCCAACTCAAACACCCCAGCCATTGTATGCCCTCCCAGCGCAAACCACCTCAACGCCTCCACAAACCCAATATCCTTCACCGGCGCACTCCCAAACGTACTAACATTCGACGCAAACAACTCCTTCTCCCACACCGACAACCCATCCAAATCCGACATTCCCAACCGCTCCCCCACACTAAGATAATCATACCTCTTCCACGGCGCCGGCTCTCTCAGCGAATCATGCGGATACGGCATCAACGCACGACTATACAGCCCATCAATAGTGAAGAATTTCGATGCAACCCGCTCAAGCGTAGCCCCATACTCCTCACCAGACACCTTTTCCACAATGCCACTGCTGGACGACTTGAACCACTGATTAACAGGCGCGAACGCCCCCGCAGATGTCTTCAAGTTCCGATGCAATCCGTACCGATGCAGCTCGGCATACAGATGCGGCTGGTTCCAGTGGACCCAGGTCCCGCCCATTTCGATCTCCTCGCCCAGCACCTTGGCTGTCCATGTTCGGCCGCCGATGCGGTCCCGTGCTTCGAGGAGCAGGACGGAAAGATTGTGCTTCTTGCTTAGGTCGCGGGCTGCAATGAGCCCGGAGAATCCGGCCCCGATTACGATCACGTCGTAGTGGGTGAGGAGGGTGGGGGTGCTGGGGTGGACGGCGTCGGTGGGTAGGCCTGTGGTGGCTTGTTTGGGGGTCCAGAGGTAGCCTTCGCTGGAGCGGGACATGGTTGATGCTGTGGGTGGTACGGAGGTTGGTGGGATGTTATGGGTTCATGTGATGGTGTATATAGTGGGTGTCTGACAGGATGCTGGGCTGCTCAAGTAGTAGTTAATGAGGACGGGTTATCAAGAGAACATAAGTGAGTGCTATGGTGATAGCCGTTACTTCCGAGTTTTGCACATTTTTATGTTCGATGCTAAATTGCAGCTGATATCCTCGACAATCGATGGACGGTAGGGAGGCATAGTTGGCGCACTATTTTGCCATTTCGGGTAATGGTGCGCTTAGCGGGATATGAATTCAGATATACAAGTGAGGGGAACGGGGCGTATCTATTTGGCTAGGCACTGATTGATCCTTTCAGAGCTTCTCGATTCCATGCGTAAGCAGTCCTCAAGGAACTTCATCCATCATATGCAATGCCAACTAGACATAGTGAACTCCTACCGCTACATTGCGTCGCAGAACTTGGCCCAATCCATATTATGCCTCTGGAAAGTAACGACAATGTTCTTGCATTAACTTCATTATCAGCTTGCTAGACCCTACTAATCCGAATCCTATAACATAATCCAATAACACATATCAAAGCCTCGCCATCTCACGACCCCCACACTTCCACGCCAACTCATAACTATCCGTGGAGAAAGTGATAGTACTGCCCCTCGGGAAGAAGAATGTTTCACCTGGCCTCACTGTAACGGTCTGTCCAGTTTCATCACGGAGAGTGATTTCCCCTTCACAGTAATAAACCCACCATCAGTTGATACATGTCTTATCATCATCAAAGTGGCTTGGCTCACTCACCCTCAATGACCACCCCAACCTCATCATACGAGTATGTCGGAGGCGTAGATTCAGGTCCTTTCTCAATTCGAAACCAGGATCCGACGATTGGGTTCTTCTCGCCACTTTTGCTTGTTCCTAGTAGGTCCGCTATGTTTCTGCTGTCAATGTCCCGTCGATGATAATAGTGGGAAAGGTGGGTGGTACCGAAGAAGATGTTGAGTATGTCTCCGTATCTGGGGACATTGTACATTGCAGTGTTGCTTTTCACTTGGAGAACCATGTTGATGGTGTTATGTCTCGAGACTGGGATGGAGGGGGAGGGGAGAAAGTGTTGAGTGTTCTGGTAGGCTTGGAATGAGGCTACTAGGATATATGTAGCAGTTGCTTAGCCGAGGGATGAACGTCTCAAGTGGGTTTGCTGTAGCAATAGTGACAGGAAGGAAACCCGAAGAGAAATCAATCTAGACACTAATTGCCGGAGCATAAGCCGTTCCATGTTATCGTATCACTGACTCGTAGACCAAAGAGATCCCTCAAGGTTCACGACTCCAACTAGAAAGACATCTATAAGTATGAAAACCGACCAATCGCATTCCTTGTTCTAGTTGACGCACTATTTTCCCCAATGCGGTTAGTGCCATAGACGGTTTAACCAAAGATCGACTCCAGCTTCTCGGAGCTCATCACTTCGGTCCACTGGATGTATTCCCATTCCTGGCCAGGCCCCTCAGCGGCCCTTCTCACGTCGGCTAGAAACCACACCCTATCGAGAATCTTCTGCGCGCGGCCAATGACAGCGAGTCCCACGATTCCTTGGACGGTCTTGATGCGCTCGCGCACGAAGTTCCTCCAAAAAAGATAGGTATCCCGCTGCAGTATGGATGCGGGGACATCGGACGAGAAACAAGGAAGTTGCAAAGCGCTACCCGCGATAATCAATGGAATCGTGAGCACACAGTAAACTCCAGATGTTGGCGGAAGCACCCCAATGGTGGTAAGCACATTGGTGGCCAGGCTCAAGATACTGTGGTTTAGGCTAGAATCGACAAAAGGGCCTCCGTGCAATTTGGGGAAGGTCATATAGAGCTGAAGTAATCCTACAAGCCGGTAGACGCGTGCAATTCGTTGGAGGTGGTCGACAGGTGTCCGGGAATCAATCGTGTCTTCTATTCGATCCGTTGATAGAATTTTGTAGGAAAGGAGCGCAGTTTCAATGGCTCTAGCCTGCTCCAGCATGTCGGGGCCTATATGGCCCCACCCTACAGACAATTGTCGGGCAAGAGATCGCTGTCTTGTCAATATACCAACTTGGGCCAGATGTATGAAAAGTGGTGTGCAGATTCCTGTCCAGGGATTGACGTAGATGTCGCATCTCTCGTCCTCAAAACTGTACGGCATCAGGTAGGATATCGAATCCAGACACTGGTTATGTACAAAAGACGCGACTGCTTCCCAGTAGGACATAATGCCCGTGATTGTATTTCTTATTCGGGGGCAGCACGCTGGGACTGTGGTAATCCATTTCTGGAACAAGGTGCGTGCACCATGGAGATGCGTCATTCCGAGTTGAGTGGGATCATGCCACCCCTATGAAAGACCGTCAGTTTGACATACAAAAGGCTGGCATAAGCACACGGAGGATGGCTACCTCTGTCATGCCCAAAAGTATGCTACCAAGTAATATCTCGGCAATTTCATCGAGCGGTGATCCATTGTTTATTTCTGGTATCAAAAACCCCTTTGTGAGTTTTGCCTTCAAGCAGGAGAGTGCACTCGTCCGGTGCCGCAGTGTGATCGCCACCATAGTTCGTTGTTTTGTCGTCAGATGAGCGGCGGACATTGATAGCACGCAGTAGTGAATCAGAGGTCGGGAGCTTATCAGCGATCCCACTTCCACGCGGAGGAAGTTCTTTTGTGAGTCAAAGCACGAGTTGACAGGACATACATTGGAGAAATAATGCCAAAGAAGTGTAGTGTCATCGTCTTGTGGGGTAGACAAAGTCCGTTGCGCTACAAAGGTTCCTGTCCATGAATCACCACAATCATCTCCCAGCAGACTTGAAGGAGTCCAGATATCGTTCGACGGCAAACTGTTTGCCGCAGAGATGAATACGGGGTCTGATCTAGCAGCAGCCTCGTTCTGCGCGGACTGGACATACGCTTGCACGGACAGGGAACGTGTGGCGCGGTCCGACACTGTGGAATCGAACAAGTTGGGTTCCACTGACTGGATGGGCTCTGTCTTCCGGAGAACCTGCTCGGAGGACTTCGGTGCTGCGCTATTATTGCCACTTTTCCCCACCTCATATTTGGATGACCACTTCAAAGGACGTTTGTATCCCGGGCATTCGAAACCTTTACGGGTGCATTGAATACACACAGGAAGCGTTTCATCGCATTTGATTCGCTGTCAGCCAGGTCAGCTTGTACACTCGTGAGGAAGTACCCTATGAGTTGCTGGTCCCACCCTTTGTTTGCATCTTAGACAGCCATCTGCCATCAGAAGTATGTCAGTTCCCTCAATGTATGCACACTTGGATCATCTTAGCTACTCACTGCGAGTCTTGACCCTACGGCGTGAGACGGGCTGTAGGTCCGACATTGACAGTGATTGGGGAGAGATTGAGTACAGTAGTAGTATTGCTCGTGAGGACAGTGTTGTGGAGTAGATGAAGCTGATTGTAGATGGCGGCAATAATCCGCCAGAGATGATAAGGTATCTCACTAGTGCTTCCCCGCAATTCCGCTGTCAAGATAAGCATCGGAACATTCCACTGGCCCGCACTTTTTATACTCTTTTAGATACGAAGCGCTGATCATTTCGTGTCCGTATATCAGTTGCAAGGATACTGGCCATGACGATTCCGAAGATGCCTATCTTTCAGGTTGCAACCGGTTATTGGACACCCACGATGGACTCTATACCTCAGAGTTTCTGCTTTATACATCCCATTCCTACCCACAAAGTCTTCACATTTGGTGGATTAATGGCATTCCTATTGTCGAAAACAAAATGTCACCCAGTATGAAGACCCCTAAAGAGGCTATGGCTGCCAAGCCGGCAGACATAGATGAAAATGGGCTCAGCATGGGAGAGGTCATATCGATCAAGGTCACTATGCTTTTTCCTTAATCTATACCAGTCTGAAGTCGACATGGGCAACTTCTAATGGCGATGCTTGGTCTGTAGAAGCCCTTTTCTCGGCTTACTATATTTGCCTTGACTGTGGTTCTCATGTCAACTTGGGAGGCGCTCTCCAGGTAAAGCCTGCCCTCGCTCCAACAATTCAGTTTCGTGTCTAACTGTTCCATTGACGATAGTACAATGTCCTCGGGTCTCGTTAGTGGTGGCCCTGTATCACTCATCTATGGATTCCTTCGTTCGTCTCTCCTCTCTCTAACCGCACTCAATGGTTCTGATCAAATGGTAGTTGCGATTGTGGGTTCCATGGCAACAGCAGCCTCCCTAGGTGAAATGGTGTCTATGTCAGTGCTTCCTGCTTTGTACTTGAAGTTATCTGACTTTGTTACATGCTAGGTATCCTACGGCTGGTGGTCAGTATCACTTCATCGCAAAGTTCGCACCCAAAAAATGGCAGAATATCCTCAGCTGGTTCGTGGGATGGATAGGTAGGCACTGTCATCACCAGGCTTATACGCGACGATGCTTATCTCTTTCACATAATAGGAACCTTTGGCTGGGTGTCATTCACTGCTAGTGCTCCTTATCTTGCCGCAGGCATGATACAAGGCCTTGTAGTCCTCACATGCGAGGCGTATCAGCCTCAGCGCTGGCATTTGTCTATGATATACTGGGCTCTTGTCGGTCTCTCCACCGCTCTCAATATATGGGGCAGTCGTCTTTTTTCCCTGGTAGAGACGGCGTCTCTCATCATTCACCTGGTGGGATTTCTGGTTGTCCTAATCGTTATGTGGGTTTGCGTGCCAATCAAGCATAATGCCAGCTTTGTTTTCACCACCTTTTTGAATAGCACTGGGTGGCCTAGTGATGGTCTTTCCTGGTGCCTTGGCATGCTCTCCAGCTGCTATGTTCTGGCAGGTTCGTTAGCATTCACCTGTCATCCATAATGCATAATCTGACTCCCTGAGTTCAGGCTACGATGGAGCCATCCATCTTTGCGAGGAAATGGCTAACCCAGAAACCGCCGTCCCGTACTGTATGCTGGGGTCGCTGGCCATCAACGACATATTGGGCTTTGTGTTTCTGCTCACTATCCTGTTCTGCATGGGGGACATGGAAAGTGCACTTCAGACCCCGACCGACTACCCAATAATTGAAATTTTCCGCAGTGTGACCAGATCATTGGCTGGAAGCTGTGCCCTAACGGCTGTTCTGATAATCGCAGCCTGGCTGGGTACCATTGCACTGCTGGCATCGACGGCTCGTATGGTACTTTCATTGGCTCGAGACAGAGGTATGAGCAGTCTCCTTATCCCTCCCTTTTCTCTTATACATCATTATTGACCCCCCTAGCTCTTCCTTTTTCCAGTTACCTTTCTCAGCTTGATTCTCGCACAGACTTGCCGAAGCGCGCAATAATTACAACTAGCTGTCTGCTCATCCTGTTTGGGTTGATCAATATCGCCTCCACTACTGCCTTCAACGCCATCCTCTCACTTGCCGTTTTAGGATTACATATCTCATACCTTGTCCCTATTGTCTTCTTCCTCTGGCGTCGCCTTTCCGCACCACATAGTGTGAACTATGGATCATGGAGACTTGGCCGCGCCGGCGTTGCAATCAATGTCATCGCCATCATTTATTTGCTGTTCACTAGTATCTTCATGGTGTTTCCCTCTTATCAACCCGTCACTCCGTCTAACATGAACTATGCTTCCTTGATCTTTGGGTTCGTTTGTTTGATGAGTACGGTGTTCTGGCTGGTGCGTGGCCGAAAGGAATATGATGGTCCTGTTGTTGCTGTTAATTTGTGAGGGGACCCTTTATATACAAATAAAAGCATAAGTCGAAGGGAAAAGGTTTAGAAAATACGTTATAGCATAGCAAGACACTGGTTTTAATCCCAATGGAGTGGGAGCCTACATATGAGGTATTATAGAGGTCCTGATCACTGTTTCTACTACTGAAAGGCCATCAGGTATGACAACTTGGCATTTATGGTCTTCATCTTCTATCTTCAACATGTGCAGAATATTCCGGCAACATTCCACTCAATTATCTTTGTAAAATACTGTACCACAATTATGTTTCCCTCCTATGAACATCAATTTGTCATTTACCCACTCTTCCAAGAATGG